AGTTCTAACTGTTGCTTCCTGACCTGCATACAGGCTTCTCAAGAGGCAAGTCAGGTGGTCTGGTATTCCCATCTCTTTCAGAATTTTCCACAGTTTATTGTGATCCACACAGTCAAAGGCTTTGGCATACTCAATAAAGCAGAAGTAGATATGTTTTTGGGACTCTCTTGCTTTTTTGATGATCAAAGGGATATCGGCAATTAGATCTCTGGTTCCTCTGCCTTTTCTAAATCCAGCTTGAACATCTGGAATTTCACGTTTCTTGTACTGTTGAAGCCTGGCTTGGAGAATTTTGAGCATTACTGCACTAGCGTGTGAGATGAATGCAACTGTGCATAGTTTGAGCATTCTTTGGTATTGCCTTTCTTTGGGATTGTAATGAAAACTGACCTTTTCCAGTTCTGTGGCTGGAAATACATAAATAAATATATGTATTTTTAAAAGGAGCTTTATGATAAAAAGAAAAAGGTTCACCGCTGACAAATGCCAGTCTGAGAGTGTGGAATCAGCCTTCCTGAGCTCTCTACCCAGCACTTGCCTCCCACCCCTTGACTCCTCCCAGCCTTGGCTTGACCTACACCCCCGTCACTCCAGGTTCACACCGGCCTGGCCTCCTCTCTGCAGGAGTCCCTGGTCTCTACATTCGGCTGCAATGCGCCTCTGAGGCCTGCAAACATGCCTCAGGCCTTGGGTACAGGGGCATGCCAGTGTGGGGCCCTGGCAGGGCATGGGCCTGGGCTCCCCGAGGTTTGGGGCACCATGCTGAGCCGGGGCCCACCAGGGTGGCACTGCTCACAGCCTGCGCAGCAGCTGGCTCCTCATTGCCTCGGGGGAAGAGAATGCTCGCTGGGGGCCACGTGCAGTGTTGGCCCGTGCGGGTGGCGACAGATGATGGTGGGTTTGCACATATGTGAATGCCATATGTCTGGGCCTTTAATATGTGAGACTGTTCACTCGGGCCCGGCTGGAAGGGCATCTCAGTCACCCCACCAGGGCTCTTGGAAGGAGGGCTGGCCAGCAGCTGGCCTGGACTTCAGCTTATGGCGTGGACTGTGTTGGGTGGAGGACAGACAGAGGGACAGGTTCCTGGTGACCCCACGGCAATTCCTATAGAGGCTTCAACTCGGGACTCTCAGCTGGATCCAAAGTGGAGGAGCAGGAAACTTCTGCAGTGAGGGGCCACAGGCGGAGGGCTGCCATGCCTCAGAACAGCTTCGGAGCCCCCGTCAGCCAATGTCACAGGCAGAGCTGGGCATCCAGCACCAGGGATACAGGGCTTGGGGGAGCGGGGAGAGATTTGGGGTCTTGGATCCGTGAACTGGGAGAGAAAGGCCCTCCAGCCAGCCTGGTCATGGCGAAGTGTGACAAGGCAGAAGGCAGCAGTGTGGGTACCACTTTGCAAAAAGCAGCATTTGCCCAGGTGTTTGCCCAAGCATCCCATTGCTTCAGTGGTGCAATGATTACACGCCTCATAGGAACTGAGAGCTCACGGCATCGACTCTGGATGCAGCGGATCTGTGAACTTCAAGAATTTTCCACCTACCTCTTCAATGCCCTTGAGCACCTGCTGTGGGCCACGTCTCTCATGACGATTTGCACTCACTTCTGGTTTCCCTTCTGATTTCTTCTTTGATGCTGGGGCTACTTAGAAGCTAATTTCCACATTGGTGAGTTTCCTGTTGTTTCCTTGTCCTTAATTTCATCCCACTGTGGTCGGAGGACACCGTTTGTAGTCCTGTCTTTTTGCCGAAGGGCCCAGCGTATGCTCCGGGTACCCCTGGGCGGAGCAGGTGCTCTGCTGTGGGAAGCGGATGTGCCCCACAGTCTGGGGGTCAGGTTGCTAAGAATGGCTTTAGAATCTTCATTCCTTGTTGATCTTTTGTCTAGATGTTCTGGCCAGCATTCAAAGTGGGTGTCTGAAGCCTACAACTAATATTCTCAAATTGTCAATTTCTCCCTTCATTTCTGTCCGTTTTTTCACATTTTGATTCTTTTGGACTTTTTCACCTCTGGATTTAATCTTGCAAAGAGATTTATTTTTTGTCTTCTAATGTTGCCTGAAATATGATAATGGAAGAGGAGTATATGTTTAAATTTAGGGCATTTTACTGTTGCCAATTTATTAATGAATGTTACGGACTGCGTCCCCCTCACCCTAAATTCATGTGTTGAATCGTAACCTTCAGTGTGATGGTGTTGAGAGGTGATGAGGTCACAAGTGTAGAGCCCTCCTGAATGGGGATGAGGGTCCTTGTAAAAGCAACCCCCCTACCTCAGAGGTCCCTTGTCCCCTCCCTGACATAAGGACACAGAGGGAAGGCACTAGCGATCAACCAGGAAGTGAGTCCTCACTTGACACCGAATCTGCCAGGCCTGATCCAGAACTTCCAGCCTCTGAATTGTGGGGAATAAATTTCCATTTTTTATAAGCCACCCAGTCTGTGGCATTCTATCAAAGAATCCTGAACAAAGATAATGAAACTTCTTTTTCTGAAAGAAATTCATCATTAAAATTATTATAAACATAGAAAGCATATTAAACATCTATCAGCACTTTAAAGACAAGCCTGGAGAGACTATGCAGATTGAGAAACAATGCTGCCAGTCACCTCCTTCCACCTCAGGTCTCCTCCCATCAGTAACTACCATCTCCACTTTGGGACAAAATTTTCTGTATATTTCTTCATCGCTTTATTCATTGGAATCATCTTGGTATTTTACTATCGGAGATTCTGATTATGATCACTTAACCTCATTGCATGAGATCTGAGGAATTGTACTGGATAGTGTGGGATGGTAAAAGTAGTGAATTTCCAGCCTCAGGTCTACAGTGGCCTTGGTGTTAATTTAACAGATGTTCTCTTGGACCCACTCCAGGGTCTCTGGAGCCAGCACCTATATAGCTGGAGGAGAGGCTGTGTATCCTCTGGGGACAGCAGGGAACAGATCCCATCAGAGGTAAGCCTGAGGCCCTACAACCCAGCCGCAACGCTTTAGGGTGTCTTTCCTGCAGAGAGAACTCAGTCCTGTATGCAAGCATGTTCCTGAAGTACAATTTGTAACAACGACAAAAAGGAGTCAGCCTAAGTGCCAACAACAGGAAAATGGTGAGATAATAAATTATAGCCCATCCCATCCCCAGGAGGGGCACAACCCTGTAGACCCCTTGATTTTAGCCCAGAGAGACTTTGGACCTCCAGAACAATAAGACAGTATGTTCATGTTGTTTAAGCCACTAAGTTTATGGTAATTTGTTACAACAATGATAGGAAACTAAGATAGACAATTCAGAAAATTTGAAAAATACCCTTAATTACCAACAAAGCTGAAGTGGAGAACTGTTTGGTGTCCTGGTTAAATGGGCCCCTGCTCCTCATTTGTGGCTTGGACCTTGGAAGAGTTCATTTGGGGCAGAACCTGAGACCTCAGAGCAGACTCACTGAGGACACAGAATGGATATTATCAATATTTTAAATTTTTGTCATCTGACAGGTCAAAAAAAAAAGTGACGATTTATTTACAAAATCTGTAAAATTTAAAAATTGATACAATTTGGACATACTTAATGTATCAAGGATTTCTTGACATATGAGTAGGTTATATTTAACTGGGAAGCCACACTATCGTTGACTTTCAAAGTTTTTTGATCCTATTGCGACCTAATTCTCATTTTATATATATATATGTGTGTGTGTCTGTCTGTCTGTGTACATGGCAGAATTTTTCAAACTAAGATTGAAATCCATTAGAGGGTTGCGAAATGTACTTAGTGGTTTGCAGCTAGTATTAAAAAAAAGACAACAGAGTAAAAGAAAACGGTGCATCTCGCATAGAAATGGAAGTATTAGATTTTACGATTTTGATTTTACTCGTGTGTATATGAAATGTATATATGTATCTGATATACATGTGTGTATGCGGTGTCTATTTCTCCGTGTATATTATACGTTTCTATGTATATATATAGATGTGCATGTACTTGTGTATATATTGACGTGCTTGGACATTTACGCAAGAGTATGTATGTGTACATGATAAACGTTTATGCTGTGCATGTGCTACATGCTTCTATCTGTGCGTATGATATATACGTGTATACGTGTTGTAAGTTCGCACATAACTAGGTCACAACGTTTAGTGATGCACTCTCTAAGGGCGTTAAGTAATAAAGCTGATCTTTCTCCTATCGTATCAGCCAAGCCTGGTATCTTACGGAAAGCCTGGAGCCGGCTTCCCAGAAAAGTGCACACACGGGATCCGAGTCCAGCTTCGGGACGCAGGCGCCCACGCAGCCGGCCCCAAAGCACTGTGCACGCGGGACGCTTCAGCACCCCTCGGACAGCGCCCTCTGCCCGGCGGCACCTGCTGGGGGCGCTCCCTGCCCCCGCACCTGCGCCGCAGCGACGCGCCCCGGCCCAAACCCCGCCCCCGTCCCCGTCCCCGTCCCCCGCCCCCCGCCCCCGCCCCCGCCCCCGCCCGGCCCTGGTCCCGCCCATCGAAGGCCTAGCCCCGCCCCTCACTGCCCCGGCCCCGCCCCTCGCCCCCCCGCCACAGCTCCGGGCCCCGCGGTTTCTTCCCACGCTCCGCAGCGCCGTCGACACGGGCGCGCGCACGCGAGCCGGGAGCCGAAAGAGGCGAGGCGGCGTCCGTGCCGGGAGCGCGCACGCCGCCGGGGCGGAGCACGGCCGCGGCAGCGGCGGCCATCTTTCCTCACAGCGGCCGCTCTGGGTGCGAGTGAGGGGTTCGCGGCCCCCGTCGGCGCTCGGGCTCGGCCGGAGTGGCGGCGAGGCGTGGATGAGGGGAGCGGCGGTAGCCGAGGGCCGCCCCCTGTGTTGCCACCCCCCTCCCGCCACCCAGGGCAGGCCGAGCCGGCAGCACGCCGGCGGGCGCGGGCGCCGGGTCCCTGCCCGGCGCGGCCTCCCTGCCGGGGCGCTTCCCCGGCGCCCGCCAGCTGCCCGCGCTCTCTGGGTCGGGCCCCCCAGATGGGATAGGCTGTAAAGATGTTTAGTTTTGAGGGGGACTTCAAAACCAGGCCCAAGGTGTCCCTGGGAGGCGCGAGCCGGAAGGTAAGAGCGGCCTGCGAGCGGCGGCGCCTCGGGGCCGGGCGGGGGCGGGGCACGTCCGTCCCGCCGGTCGGGCGGCAGGGTCACACCGGGTTCGTGAGGAAGGCTGATGGGGGCCGGGGCCGTGTGCACCGACATCGCCCAGGAGCTGCGAGGATGCTGAGGGTGGACGGCCCTTCACATTTAGACGGTGAAAAGCTCAGGGCCAGGGACACAGTGTTTCTTTCCGAAATGAGCTTTGGATACTTTGTAAGCCTTGACATCTGATGGTGACTGCTTTTCTGGACTTCTCTGTTGTAGGAGGTGAGCAGGATGTATTCGTTCTTGACGACAATCTCTGAAATTGAGCCGTACTCCTTGTCTTTGGCCGTATGTTTGAATCCAAGAGCATGAAAATTATTCTTTAGTAACCCTTTGGAAACATTTCTGGAGAGACTCTAGAACTTTTTTTCTGTTATGATAGTTTTTGTTGTTGTTAGTCTTGTCCGACTCTTTGTGATCCGAGGGACTGCCACAGGCCAGGCTTCCCTGTCCTTCACAATCTCCCCGAGTTTGCTCAGATTCGTGTCCATTTGAGTCGGTGATGCCATCCAACCATCACATCCTCGGTCGTCCCCTTCTCCTCCTGCCTTCAGTCTTTCCCAGCATCAGGGTCTTTTCTAATGAGTCAGCTCTTCGCATCAGGTGGCCAAGGTATTGAAGTTCAGCTTCAGCATCAGTCTTTCCAGTGAACGTTCAGGGTTGATTTCTTTTAGGATTGACAGTTATTCTTGGGATAACAGTTGAGAGTAAGAGTGGACAGACTAGTTACTCTGTTGTCCTGTCTGATGACTGGCATCTGCTGATTGGCTGGAATTGCTGGTAAGTAGCTCAGCGTCAGTGTTGTTTCATTTGCTTGCTTTCCACTACCTCTCGCTCAATCCCTTTTCTGCCTGTTTTAGTTTTATCAGGCTGAAAATAAAGTGTGGTCCCCCCTACTTAGGGTGTTTGGAAAGTTCAAGTGAGTATAATTAGCTGTTTACTAAATATTAGTTTTCTAAAATGTTCTTTAAGTGCTTCGTGTATTTTTTCTTCAATTTTAGTGTATTGTTTGTTAAATTTAACGATTGGGTTGGCTTGTGACTCTAAAGTGATTGCTCAATGTAAGGCTATCCATTTTAAATTGTACTGTGAGCGTATGTGGGCTTCCCAGGTGGCATAGTGGTAAAGAATCCACCTGCTAATGCAGGAGATGCAAGAGACTTGGGTTCAGTGCCTGGGTCAAGAACATCCCCTGGAAAAGGGAATGGCTACACATTCCAGTGTTCTTGCCTAGAAAATTCCACAGCCAGAGGAAGCCTGGTGGGCTCCAATCCATGGAGTCATAAAAGAGTCAGACAAAAAAGAAATAGAAAAAAAAAAAAGAGTCAGACAAGACTGAGCACACATGGGGGTATGTATGTGATCGTTTCTGAGGGTAGAGGGTGGGATCCCAGCAGGGAGTTGGGAGAGAAGTGTGCTGGTAGTTTTCAAGCTTTGGGTTTTGCAAGATGGTGATTGATTGAATGTAGCTGGCTGCAGAACAGGGTACCTGTTGAAGTGTGGCAGCGCTGGTATGGGCCATATTTGGGCTTGGCTAATCATGAAAATTCCAGGTGAGATCAAAGGATTTCTGCCCTTGGAAGGGGCCTTGAAGACTCTGTGGGCCACAGTTAGTTTTCAGGTGGGATAAAGAGCCATTGGGTGACTGCACGGCCATGTGGCCTGGCTGTAGGTCACCGCTGAGAGCCCATGTCCCTCCAGTTCTGTCCGACCTTGTGAGCTGGGTACCGACGCATGCCCCGCAGCTCCTGCTCAGGTGCTGATCCTGTTCTCTGGCCGGGTACCACGTCTCGTCTCTGAGGAAAATAGTGATCCATCGATCAGAAGCTCAAGAAGAGATTGTGTATCTGGCTTTTCAACTGTGTGAAACCATTTTTTTTTTCTTTCCCCTTTTATTCCCCTTTTCATTGACGTTTAGACTTAACATACAGTCAAGGCACAAACATTAAGTGTCTGTATCTTAGGCCATGTCCTCTAGAAGCCTGAGGAGGAAATCCTTGTGCGAGTGAAGTTGAAGGAAGAGGAGAGGTCAGGGGGCCAGGATTACAGTCCAGCTTTAGCCAATTCCGCCGGTAGCTTTGGAGTGTGGCTGGCATCACAGACTTGTCCCTTCTTGTATCACTTAGTCATTGTCTGCTGGCCGCCCCCGGCGTGGGTGAGAGTGTAGTTCTCCTGAGAGGTAGCAGTTACTCTCAGGTGGTTGGGTGATGGCATCTGGGCAGGGAACTAACTGTAAGTTCTGCTGGAAGGATTTTTACATGTGAACATACCTCGGGGCCCACCATTCCCATCAGGTCACATACCCAGCATTCCAGAGGCTCCCTTCTGCACCCTTCCATTCTGAGCCCTCCTATCCAGAGATAGGGAACATTTCATTCAAGGATGGGCACATTAAAGGACAGATGGCAAGGAGCTAACTGAAGCAGAAGAGATTAAAGAAGAGGTGGCATGAATACAGAGAACTGTATTTTAAAAAGGTCTTAATGACCTGGATGAGCAGTGATGGTGTGATCACTGCCCTAAACCCAGATCCCGGAGTGTGAAGTCAAGTGGAACTTAGGAAGCATTACTACAAACAAAGCTAGTGGAAGTGATGGAATTCCAGCTGAGCTATTTCATATCCTAAAAGATGCTGCTAACATGCTATTTGGAAAACTCAGCAGTGGCCACGGGACTGGAAAAGATCACTTTTCCTTCTAATTCCAAAGAAAAGCAATGCCAAAGAGTGTTCAAGCTATCATACAATTGTCCTCATTTTACATGCTAGCAAGGTAATGCTCAAAATCCTTCAAGTTGGGCTCAGGCAGGAAAGAATCTGCCTGCAATTCGGGAGGTCTGGGTTTGATCCCTGGGTTAGGAAGATCCCCTGGAGGAAGGCATGGCAACCTACTCCAGTATTCCTGCCTGGAGAATCACCATGGACAGAGGTGCCTGGCAGGCTACAGTCCACAGGGTCACGAAGAGTCAGACACGACTGAGGGACTAAGCACATCACAGGCTTCAACAGTATGTGAATCAAGAAATTCCAGATGTACAAGTTGGATTTAGAAAAGGCAGAGGAACCAGAGATCAAATCGCCAGCATCTGTTGCATCATTAAAAAAAGCAAGCAAATTCCAGAAAAACATCTGCTTTACTGACTCAGTTAAAGCCTTTGATTGTGTGGATCACAACAAACTGGAAAATTGTTAAATAGATGATAATACCAGACCTTCTTACCTGCTTTCTGAGAAACCAGTATGCAGGTCAAGAAGCAACAGTTGAGAACCAGACATGGATCAATGGACTGCTTCAGAAATTGAGAAAGGCGTTCATCAAGGCTGTATATTGTCACCCTTCTTATTTAACTTGTGTGCAGAGTGCATCATGTAAAATGTCAGACTAAATGAGTTACAAGTTGGAATCAAGATTACCAGGAGAAACATCAACAACCTCAGATATGCAGATAATACCACTCTAGTGGCAGAAAGTGAAGAGGAACTAAAGGGCCTCTTTTATCAAGAGGGTAAAAGAGGAGAATGAAAAAGCTGACTTGAAACTCAGCATTCAAAAAACTTAAGATCATGGCATCCGGTCCCATCATTTCATGGCAAATAAAAGGGGAAAAAGTGGAAACAGTGACAGATTTTATTTTCTAGGCTCCAGAATCACTGTGGACGGTCAGTGCAGCCATGACATTAAAAGACACTTGCTTCTTGGAAGAAAAGCTATGACAAACCTAGAAAGCATGTTAAAAAGCAGAAACTTCACTTTGCTGATAAATGTCCATCTAGCCAAAGCTATGGTTTCTCCAGTAGTCATGTAGAGATGTGAGAATTGGACCATAAAGAAGGCTGAGTGCTGAAGAATTGATGCTTTTGAACTGTGGTGTTGGAGAAGACTCTTGAGAGTCCCTTGGACATCAAGGAGATCAAACCAGTCCATCCTAAAGGAAATCAACCCTGAACATTCACTGGGAGGACTGATGCTGAAGCTGAAACTCCAGTACTTTGGCCACCTGATGCCAAGAGCTGACTCATTGGAGAAGACCCTGATGCTGGGAAAGATTGAGGGCAGGAGGAGAAGGGGGCGACAGAGGATGACATGGTTGGATGGCATCACCGACTCAATGGACATGACTTTGAGCAAACTCTGAAAGATAGTGAAAAACTGGAAAGCCTGGCATGCTGCAGTCCATGGGGTTGAAGAGAGTTGAAATGACAGTGACTGAACAACAACCCAGAGATGTCCCCTGTTCCCACCTTTATTACCACAGGGTAGTTCCGCCTGTCGCGCTTCCTGTGCTGGGAACCCCCTCTTTTTGGAGCTGGCTTCTTGTGGCTCAGCGATCCATCTGAGAGGTGGAGCCCATTGTCTTATTTTGATGCATTGTCTGAACGTAGTACAGTTGACCCATGTGCAGTATGAGTCTCTGGGTGGACACCTGCTCTCATGTGCTGGCCACACGTCGCACATGGGTTTAGCTCTAGTGTGCTCTGCCCCGTCCCCTTGGAGGCAGACTTGCAGTATCTGAGGGTTTCAGGGGCTCCACTTCTTGCCAGCACTTAGTAGTGTCAGTCCTTTTAATTTGAAAGTTCTTCTATTGTTCTGGTGGGTATGTAGTTTCATTGTTGTTTTGATTTTGTTTCCTAACAACTAAATGGTATTTGAGCGCCCACATTTGCTTATTTTCATTCTCTTTCTTTGCAACTTAAGTCCTTTCTCTTATTTCTTAAGCTTAGTGGAAACTGAATAGTTGCCGCTTTTTCAGTGAATATAAATTTTTCTTTCAAGTTAAATAAATATTTAATATATTTATTTGTGAAGGTTCTTTGAAGGATCTGAAACATTGTAAGGAAAAGTTCATGCCCTCCTTGTAATCTTGTTGGGGAGGTAAGACTTACATAGTTAAACCTTAAATAACCATAGAGGGAGTAAGTACCA